AGCAGGAGGTGAAGGAGGTGAAGCAGGAGGTGATGGAGGTGAAGCTGGAGAAACGATGCAGTGTGATTTTGTTGCTGTCAGAGAAAGTTCCATTTCACCAATTCAATTTGGAGAGACGAGAAACGAAAATGGTTTTGAGTATTTATTGAGGTGGTTTGGCGCCCTAGGCCCCGGTGCGGCCTTCAGATCGGAGAGGCTCCTGCGATGGAGCGCGTACAATCCCCAAAAAGGCTGAGTGTGTTGATGGAGTTTTGCAGCCTGGTTTGCAGGGAACAGACGTCGTGGCTACTCTATGCTGTGACCGCTATCGCTATGCTGTGACCGCTATCGCTATGCTGTGACCGCTATCGCTATGCTGTGACCGCTATCGCTATGCTGTGACCGCTATCGCTATGCTGTGACCGCTATCGCTATGCTGTGACCGCTATCTCTATGCTGTGAACCGTTTATGCGCTAACCATTTTTTGCTATGCTGTGACCGCTAACACTAACGCTATGACCGCTACCACTGACGCTATGACCGCTATCACTGACGCTATGACCGCTATCACTAACGCTATGACCGCTATCACTAACGCTATGACCGCTATCACTAACGCTATGACCGCTATCACTATGTGCTGTGACCGTTATATGCGGTTATCTTTGAGTGCCGGGACGTGAGCGCTCGCATCACGATCAACCGGACGCTGCGGCAGGGTTATCTTTGAGCGCTGGGACGTGAGCGCTCGCATCACGATCAACCAGACGCTGCGGCAGGGTTGTCTTTGCGCGCTGGGAACGTGAGCGCTCGCATCACGTTCCGTCAGACGCTGCGGCAGCGGAGAGTGTTTGAGAGAAGTGCGTGCCGCCACCAGAATCTTATTGGTTCACTTACTTGCTTCGTATTGCTTTGCTGGGAGCTTACGAGGAAGCCAGTTGACGTTGTGCAGGCAGGATAGCGGACGCGTCTGGCCTGATGTAGGCGGAGAAAGCCGCAGAGGACCGGCGCCCCAGCTGTTGCGGAGAGGTGTGGGGGAGCCCCAGCGAGGCCGCGATGGTCCTGGAAAAAAACCCCCCAAAACCCACGGAAGGGGCACGTCCGTGTAGAAGCTGAGACCTGGAGGGGCAGAGACGTATCGGAGAGGGCCATGAAGTTGCAGGCGCCTTTACGCTTAGAATCTTGGGTTGGAGAGTAGATAATCAGGATAGTAGGATGGTCGGGAAAAGCCGTGTCTCGGACCGCACGAAGGTTGAGTGTGCAGTAGTGAAACGCTTATGCAGAGAAGCCATGGAAGGCGAGCAGGAAGATGCTGCGAGGATGGCAGACATGTACCTGGAAGATGAGCCGGAGTTCAGTGCCGCTGCAGGAATGGGCAGCATGATTGGGAGCCTGCGATCAGAAGAGTGAAGAACACGGTATGGATGCCTTTGATTAGGAGTCCGATTGACGGCTCAGCGCAGCTACTCGGCCAGCTGCATCTGATAGAATCAGAAGATTAAGTAGAGAGATGAAGCACGACCGCCGAAGTGACCCTGGGAGCGAGTCCAGTGCCGCGCGGCATACTCGGCCGGGCTGCATCCATTAGAAGCAGGATAAGCTTCTGAGAGGGTGGGTTGCAGCAGTAGCAGTAGCAGCAGCGGCAGCAGCAGTAACCTCAGATAATAACGGCAACGACCTGTATCAGCCGCGGCAGCAGCAGCTGCAGCATCCGTAGATAATAACGGCAAAACCCTGTATCAAAGCCACGGCAGTAGAATATGTTGTAGCTGTTTAGTGTTTCAGTAAGAGAAGCGAAGTGAAGAGAGATGACGAAGTACATGAAGCAGCAGCAGCACGGCAGTAGTAGCAGTATGAAGCAGCAGCAGCAGCAGTAGCAGCAGTAGCGGTAACAGTATGAAGCAGCAGAAGCAGTATTAGCAGGAGCAGCAGCACCACGAAGCGATTCATACGAACAGACAGACGTGTCACGCCAGCGTGCGCCGCTTGTCTCCGTGAGCCAGGTTACGTACGTGTCTGAAAGAGCCGAGCCACAGAGACGGGTGCAGCCTGGGAGCCTGCGGAACGGCAGCGGCACATGTAGTAGTAGGAGCAGCAGGAGCAGCAGCAGGGACAGACAGCAGCAGGAGCGGCAGCAGGAACAGGCAGCAGCAGGAGCGGCAGCAGGAACAGCAGCGGCGGGATCAGGCATCAGTAGGAACGGCAGCGGGGACCGGCAGCAGCGGCGGTCAGAGAACCAACCCACGGTTGTTTAAGAGCCTGAGGGAATAAATCAACCCGAATCCGAAACATTCCCATGCGAATAACAGACGTCCCCTGGAGCCATCTTCTGCTTTGGTTATGGCAGATGCGCATGAACGATCACTGATCCATGCGTTCATAGCCCCAACGCTACTTCACACCCATTGCAGATTCACGTTCGGCCCTTTTTCTTCCTGCTGCACTTTCAAAATGCAACACTGCAGTTAGTTACCTAATTTAATACCAGCGACCTAGCTATTTAATGCATGGTTTTACTGCAAGTGGCAGAACATGATCTGAATTAATGCACATAGCTCCTCGTATATCCCTCAGACGATAGAGATTGATGCCATTTAATATGCATTGCCCCTCGGTTAGCTCAGACACGTGTGAAAACGGAGCCTGCAGACCAAGCTCGGGGCGAAAAAAAACCGGCGCCTGCAGTCAAGTGCGTAGGGCAAAAACCAATCGCCTGCAGCCCAGAACTCCGGGATTAATCTGTCCGCGGTCAGCACACTCACTGTACTCACATGCCAGGAGACTCGGGAAAAGCAACGGGACAACGCGGCACCGCCAATCGAGGCAGGGACACGCACGGCACCGCCAGACCTTCTGCGTGCGGCAGCAGACCACGAGGAACGAGCCGCACAGAAACCCGCGGAGGGCCCCGCGGAGCAGCCCGCAGAAAGAGCCCGCAGAGGAGAGCAGTGAAGACATGCGAACCACAGCAGGTGCAGGGACGTGGAAGAGGAGCAGACCAGTGCAGGGACGCGGAGGAGGAGCAGGCCAGTGCAGGGACGCGAAGGAGGAGCAGACCACAAGCAGCCAGACGGAGGACGCCAGGGACGCGCCGAGTAGCGTGAGTAGACGAAAACGATTCCTCCAGACGATTCTCTGCAAGGCTTCAGGAGCTTGCGAGGCTTCGAGAAGGCAGAAAGTGAGAGTTGCTCCGCTTTTAAGCGGCTGCCTGTCCGGCACGGATGATTGGAAGGGGGCGTTTGCCGAGCGATAGGCTGGGGAAGCGAACCGGCCTGGAGGGGGTAGCTTTTGCTGACGTCTACCAAATTGAATTTTCGCGAGCTACATAAGTCTCTGAAAAAGAACAAACAACATGGACACCTCAAAATAAAATACAGAAATCCTTCCTGTATGTAATATTAGAGGTACACAGCAGGAGAAACAGACACTGAGGAGTAACAGAAGAATAATATATTGGAAATATACACACAAATAAAACTTAGGAGTGTGGCTAACCACTTTAAACCTTTTGGAAGTGAGACTGTCATCTGCAAATGTCCTTTATTAATGACAAAAGAAACATCTGTATAATGTGCTCTTATTTCATTATATTTATCAGACTATTGTATGAAAAGTGCTTCATAATAAGCCAAATATATATATATATATATATACAGTAAATGTTAATAATTATACAGTATTCCCAGTCTTAGTATGGGATTATAAATTATATACACAATCTATTTTATATGAATACAGAAACTTCGTGTTACTTGGCATACTACATGTTAGAATACTACATGTTAGCATACTACATGTTAGAATACTACATGTTAGAATACTACATGTTAGAATACTACATGTTAGAATACTACATGTTAGAATACTACATGTTAGAATACTACATGTTAGAATACTACATGTTAGAATACTACATGTTAGAATACTACATGTTTGAATACTACAGCTGCTGTCTCCATGGACTGTTTCGTCTGTGTAGCTTTAATATATAATCTGTGGGTTTGTTTCTCCCTAAAGATGACATTACAGATTTTGTGCAGGGAAGAGTTGTGAAAAGTTTAAATAACACACTAAAAAAGTTGTGAAAAGTTTAAATAACTGACCAGAGACACCTCCTCACTGACCTCCTCACTGACCTCCTCACTGACCTCCTCCATGTCACTGTTATAGTTTAAATAACTGACCTCCTCCATGTCACGGTGGTTATAGTCTGCAGGGCTCATGGTTAACAGCACAGCTTGTCCTCACAGCTGTTGTGTTGTCGTCCCCCTCGGTCCTGCCGTGAAATGAGTTACCACGTCACTGTTGGAGGAGGCTCCTGATTGGTCGACGCTCGCGTCTTCTCCCGAAAAGTTCAACATTGTTCAACTCGAGCGTCGGCCACGCGTCACGCGGTTCACGCGCGTCAAGACGCTCGAAATCTCAAAACGCGCCGCGGCAAACGCGTGAAACGCTCGAAGACGCGCTGCTCGTGAGGCGCGTGACGCGCCGCGTGATCTCTTGACGCTCCTAGACGCGCGTCCCCCATGTTATGTCAATGTAAACCCAACGCTTTGGACGCTCAAGACGCGTTTGGTCTGAACGCACCATTACTCTTGCTACACAGCTTGCGGTGTCTTAATGAAAAGTATTGTCCCTTGTGTGACTATACTGTGGGTCATTATTTGACTTTTTGGGCTGAGAGTGGATATTATTATTTTTTTCTACACAGTGCCACTTTATTCCCAAACTCTTGTTAACTCATTGTATAGAGAGATATTAAACAAAGCTCAAGGCCTGGGCGTCTATTTAAGCACTTTGATAAGAATGAGAATAGAGGTTACAGAGTGCATATTTTTACATACTCCGCCGGTGTTGTGCTGCGAGATTTTTTTCAATGAAAAAAGTGTGCCTTAGCTCAAAAAGGTTGAAAAACACGGGGTTAGAACATACAGCTAAGATAGGACTGACCACATGGCGTGCCGCTCCTCCATTCGCTCATTGGGATCCCCTGTAAGCGGCATGTGCTGGCGTACACCTGCAGCCAGTTGCAGATGGTGTCCTGAGCGCCCTGATCCAAGCAAGTATCCTGCAGGCAGTTCTGGTAGAAGAACGTGGGTGGCACCTTACTATGGCAGCGGGTAAACACGCCGTCCCGGGCCATGATGAGCCCACACAGCCGGACCGCTTCGGGGTCCACAAACACGTAGAGGCCGTCCCCAATGTGGAATCGGATGCGCGTGTTCACTTGCCCATTATCAGCGTTCCCATTGGAGTTGGTAACTGCAAGTGCTGCATCGGTCAGGCCACTCTTCTCCCCCAGTCCACAGCGAGGGCACGAGTCCCCACAGCCCACCTAGGCCAGTTTATTTCAAGGTTTATTTCAAGGAACAATCCACATAGACAATAAATCAGACATTACAAGCTACTGTCAGCTTTAAAAGCAGTTCTTTTTCATCCCTACTGATCACCAGAGGGCGTAAGAACTGAATGATTCCCTGTGTTTTAGAGTTCCAATGCAGGAGGGTCTGTTAGACAGTTAGTGTCTAACTAGAAGGACTGTGGTGATGATCCAGGGCACTTTAACATTCTACAACGTGTATGACATTTATCAACATTCATGGACATTAAAGAGTTAAAGAATGCGATAAAAAAAAACATCAGCTTAAGCTGAAAGCTTACGCCCCTTAATGATAACTTTTTTTCTCACTCAGCGTTAAATATCATGTGATATTGTTATCAATAAACATATTTTCTTTTTTCAATTTATAATAACAAAAACTCCTTTCTCATCCTGATTAGAAGTCTCCATCCCCCAGTTGTCAATAACTTGTATCTCCCTTTGACATCTGTGACAATGGAGTCTTTTGTAGTGTGAAGGAGGTTGTTTATCCTGTGTGATGGTAAAGCGCCTCCAGTTACTCTAGGCCTTTTGAGTTCTCCAGAGATAAACCAAACACACTTACATAGTGTTCATGAACATGCACTTGCACAAGCACATGCACTTTCACATGCACTTGCACATGCACTTGCACATGCACTTGCACATGCACTTGCACATGCACTTGCACTTGCACATGCACATGCACATGCACTTTCACATGCACATGCACAAGCACATGCACTTTCACATGCACTTGCACTTGCACATGCACATGCACATGCACATGCACTTTCACATGCACACTGTGTGAATGCGTATGGACAAAGTACAGACTCGCTACTTTTTGCGCATATGATACACAATTCAATGTTGAATATGTATCTCCTGTTCACAATCTATATGAATTAGTGCTGTCAAACGTTTAAAATACTTAATCGTGATTAATTACATTAATGTCATTGCTAACTGGCAATTAATCGGCCACAAAATGTGCAGTATGTTCTTGCGTTGTTTGGCTCATATTATGAAGCAGCATTAAAAACATTGACACCGTTAAAACGAGTTTGTCTTAACAGCGTTATTAACACTTTTAACTGACAGCACTAATTGAATGCAATCTGTTTGAATGTATAATATTAATGTATTGTTATCTGAATGGTCTCCTTTGTAACAACACATGTGGTGCACTGCTCATGCAGCAAACAGCTACAATGTAATTCTGCAATGATGGGGTATAAGCACTTTATTGCCCACTCCTTTGCACTAGCACTTGAACAAACGTTAATGTCTTTGTTTGTTTGATTAACTGTATGCAATGCTCTGAGCTTAATAAAAAAAAACAATCTGAACTAAACTAAATTGATCAACACAATGTTATAATGTGAACGCAAGCAACTGTTTCCTTTTAGAATAGTGCTGTCAAACTATCAAAATAATTAATTGCTAACATAGTTAGCGTACAATTAATCGCACATTCTAATCTATTCTAAATGTCCCTTGTTTTGTGCTCTGACCTTGAGATAGTAGTGATTACTGATGAGTTGTTTTCTCCAACGTGCTTTACATCCAAAACCCATTTAAGGTTTGCTTTAACACCGTTTATAGTGTGTTTATCTAACAGCTCTAATCTAGAACATTAGAAATCTCAATTTTGATCTGAATGTTATAACGAGAGGAGTCTATCCCGCCAGATTGATACAGTGGAGCCGGGCCAACAGTTGCTCATGTTTTTACATATTACAATAATGACCCACAGGGATCATAGATGGTCATTATGCAGCAGACAGAAGTACTTCACTAATCAGCACCTGGCAGAAGGTGTCCCGTTCAGCCCAGGCCATGCCCCAGTCGGTGGTGCTGAGGATGGGGGGAGTGAGAGGCATGCCCTGGCACAGGCCACACACCATCTGGTACATGTTCCGGGGGAGTGAGAGCAATAGCAGGGTGTTCCAGTCGAACAGTACTCTCAAGCCAAAGTCTGTCTCCAGAACCAGCTGCATGCCCATACTGAAGATGTTCACCTTCCCAAGACCCAGCTTAAGAGGCAGGTACAGGCGCTCCTTGTTCACCTGCAGAGACAACAGTACACCATGGGACCTAGCTTCACAAATTACAGACACATGGCAATTACTTGTGTTTTTTATCTTGGCTTTTACAATAATAATAATCTCCAGTTTGAGCTCCTCCACATGCAGCCTGGATGTACTACCCACTAGATTTCTGAAGTCTGTTCTGAGCAGTCTGTTACCTTCACTCACACAGATAGTAAACATGTCCCTTCATTCTGGAATATTCCCAAAGGCCCTGAAAACTGCAGTCATACGACAACAAAGTCGATCATCGACCTCCGGCCTAGGGTGTCCTGGTGCCACGTGCACTGGTGGACACCCTTGTGCTAGAACATGCTGTTCGTGATGGACAAACTGTGACTAGCACAGAGGTCCAACAACTGAACACCGCTCGGGTTCGGATCAGGAGGGCCGTTCTTCCCCTCTCCAAGTGTCACTGGCATTTCATGGGCGGTCAAGTCCCCCAGGAGAATAACTGAGTCCCTGGTCGGTGCACCGTCCAGTTCCCCTCCCAGGGACTCCAAGAAGGCTGAGTGCTCAGTGAGAGACTTGTAACCCACCCGGGGGCGGAGGGACGCGACCCTCTCATTCACCGGGGAGAACTCCAACATGTGGCGGCTGAGATGGCGGGAAATGAGAATGGCCACCCCAGCTCAACGCCTCTCCCCGCCCAGTCCTCTCAGCACCTTCCCACCACAGATCTCTCTGGGGGTGGTGGGTCCACAAGAGGGCCTGCCCACGTCGACCTTTCAGGTTGAGCCCGGCTAGGCCCCGTGGGCTATGACCCGGCCACCAGATGCTCGCATACGAGCCCCAACCCAAGACCTGGATCAAGGGTGGGGCCCCACCACGTTAAGGTGGCAGTCTAGGTGGGAGCAGTGTAATAAACTTATTTTTACTGTAGAAAATTATTTTACAGGCAACCTTTTTGTTTTAACAATGGGCCACACCAGCTCACCTCTCTCTGGACCACTGAGATGCTTCTTTCACTATTGAGGTGTGACCTGAGACCACAGAAATCTCTTTTGCTGTCCTCCCAGGGAGTGTGGCAAAAATGTCCTCCATCGGCTTTTTTTCCCCTGTTTTCAATCATTAGCCACAGCCAATACAAAGTACACCAAAACAAATAGGTTTACATCCATCCATCCATTTTCTTCCGTTTCATCTGTTGCCGGGTCGCGGAGGTAGCAGTCTAAGAAGAGAGCTTTGGCTTTCGGCTCAGCTCCCGCTTTACCGCTAACGGTCCGATACAGCAACCGCATCACTGCGCACGCTGCACCGATCCGCCTGTCAATCACACACCCCACCTTTCCGTCACTCGTCAAAGAAAATCCCGAGATACTTGAACTCCTCCACTTGACGAAGGACCTCTCCACCCACCTGGAGAGGGCAAGGCACCTTTTTTCGGTCGAGCGAATTTGCATTTTGGAGGTGCTGATTCTCCAAAATCAGCACAGATAAGTTTTTCACTCTCAAACAAAAGCTAAAAGTCTCACATAAGGGATCATTTGCTTAAAAAATATAACATTTCATAAAATGAACACCACAAAACCGTCACTCACACACTCACTGACACTCACCCTAGAAAGTTCTGACCTTATAATTGTCTCATTTTAAAAGCCTATGGGAGCCAGACATACAAGTTAATGTAGACCAAATTCAGAACAGCGACAGATCGAAGTCTTAAATGGAGAAAGACGGTGTGACCAACAGGAAGTCCAGGATGACGGTATGAAATTTCACTGTCACTTGTCTTCGTTTTTTTAATTGCATTCTGGTCCAGGTAAACCCCCGGCCCGCCGGCCATATGCAGCCCTTTGAACGTTTCTATCAGGCCCCTGTGTCCTCCTCAATTTATATAAACAGAGTATAAAGACCCTCAAGTTCATCACTGTACATGCTTCTAGTTCTGCTAGAAGTTTCTGTAATCATCCACCCATCCACCCATCTACCCAATAATCAACCACCCATCTACCCAATAATCAACCACCCATCTACCCAATAATCATCCACCCATCTACCCAATGATCATCCACCCATCTACCCAATGATCAACCACCCATCCGTGGAGAAGGTCTCGTGACCTTGAGTCTCAAAGGCCAGTGCTCTACCAACTCAGCCACTGTCGCCCCTTCTGTAATAATCAGATTATGCTAAATTTTTGTCTCCCGTTTTACCAATATCTACACTTCGTACCAAAAATCCATCCAACTACTTCCTCACTCTCTTCTCCAAGCTCTAGTTTTTACAAGCATGTATTCTTTGTCAATTTTCACATCTCTTCACTGAAAAGTGAAAAAGGGAGACCTACTACAGTTTACAACAAATCAGACGACTGCATAAAGAGTCAACTCTTTATGTTACTTTTACTGTTGGGCAAAACCATGTCCCTCTCCCATTTTGAGAACCACTGTTTTTAACTATGGGTTTGTGCCAGAAGTTTCTGACATCCAGTGAATGTAATTTACCACTAGTTGGAAGTGTTGCACATTCTTGTCCTGTCTCACTCCATTAATCAATCACGTTTCCCTGTATTTCTAACGAGTAATGAAAATCACCAAATCTGTAATACAAAATTAATACCTGCATCTTATCTCCTCTGTAAGAGCCAAAAACAATGAAAATCACGTTACTCTTCCTCTCAATTATTGAGAGGAATAATTGGGGGCCAGGCCCCAGAAAGGCTCTTATAATCCAGCTCTGTTTCTTGCAGCTGTCTATTTATCGCATGCACAGGGGGCACAAAGACCCGCACTTGCAACAAGTTGCAGGAAATTGCCCTGTCCACGCTGGAAACAATATGGCCACAATGCAGCTGTGCGCTGGCTGCTGGAAACGGGAAACGCTGTTATTCACTACAAAGCTGCAATTGCTCAGAAAGGGCAGAGCGCTGCAGCAACTGAGGATGTGGACTGAGGACGTACAGCAAAAAACATCAAGTTCCATGCAATCACGAGCACCCATCCCAAATAGTAAGGGCGCCCCACTATTGGAGAAGTACTGCTCTATCCCCCATAGACTAACTCTGGCCATGAGAGCGCCACTGCCATCTACTGTAGTGGATGTGCAATTACACTTTATTCAAGTACAAAAAAAACCCCAAAAAACATTTTCAAAAAACAGATGTGTGTGATGATGTGTCACACACATCTGGTATCAAATAATGGTGTCCCACTATTTGAGAAGCACTGGTCTACGTGCTGGACAGTGGGGTGTGTGTAGGTGTGTTAGATTTTCACATCTATACCAGTGTTTGTGAACCCGCTCCAAACGTCACTCAGAGCCCAGGCCGATAATAGCTTCCCATTGAAATGAGATCTCACCTGGTCCTTGTCTGTTCTGTCAGCTTGATTAGAAATAACTCCCTCAGCGATACAACTGCTGTGACCTTCGTTGTTATGCAGAAAATGTGCACATTCCTCTGGCCTGTCATGTGGTGACATACTCCAAACCAGAAGTGGGAAATGAGTCACTTTTGGAGAAGTGCTAACACAGATGCAAACAAATTATTAAAGTCTTTCCATTCATGAATTTTAGTCCACTTTTTCTTTTCTGATGGTTATGCTGCCCATTCTTCTGAGCAAACAGCCTCCAGGTCCTGTACATTCTTCAGTCGTCTTGCATTAAATGAACATTTGAGTCTTCCTCAGTTCAGCTCAATGATAATACAGTAAATGGCTTTGCACAACCACAAACGATGAGTGAAAAGTTTGTTTTATCATTTATTTTAGTGTGTAAACTTTCAAGTGCATCTGTATACAGTATATTTAGAACATTCAAAATCTCAGTTTTGATCTAAAACTGTTATGAAAGAAGAGTCAGCACAGTTTTCTATCCCACCAGAGGGTTGTGCTCAGCGTTGTAAAGAAGGAACTATATAATCAGTTACATGTACATGACCCTTAACTTTCTACTGCTTAACCCGGAGAAGACAGAAGTGATCCTACTCAGTCCGAAGCGCCTGCGTGACACCCTCACTAACCAGATAATCACTCTGATAATGTCAGTATTATACCCAGTAACACTGTGAGGAATCTTGGAGTCATTTTTGACCAAGAACTCTCCTTCAAGGCTTATATAAGCAACTAAAACGTCATATTTCCACTTGAAGTTTAAAATACAGCAGGAAGGATCTTAACAGGTACCAAAAGGAGGGAGCACATAACTCCGGTGTTAAAATCACTCCATTGGCTCCTGTGGAGTAAAGAATACATTTTAAAATCCTTATTTTAACCATAAATGGCGTGGCTCCTTCTCAAAGACACGTTAGTCTCATATCAACCAAACAAAGCACTGCGCACAAAAGACGTCTGGTGGTTCCTAAGGTCTCAAAAAGCACTGTCAGCGGCAGAGCATTTAGTTATAAGCTCCTTTACTGTGGAATCAGCTGCCCATCCACGTTAAAGAACTAGACACGTTCTCCACATTCAAGGCCAGGCTTAAAACACTCTTCTTCAATTTAGCAAATGGTTAGGTTGTTGTCTGGTTTGGTTTATACACTTAGTGTGTAATCCATAAATCATTGGTGTTGTAGCCTGGTCTCGCCTAGCCGTGGCTGCTGCTGTCTTTCCGTCGTTCGGATACAGTCTCTACATAGTGTGTAAGGCTAGGCTTAAAACAGTCCTCTTCTGTTTAGCATATGGTTAGGAAGGTAAGACTCAGGAAAGGCTAAAACTCTTAGTCAATATTGTATTGTAATGATTTGAAATGCATGTTGGTTTTACGGGACTCTTACCTCTTCAAGTTGTTGCTACAAAGTTAAAGCTGTTTGTTGAATGGATGGCGTTTCTCCTTCATCTATCTCCTGTAGGGAGTTGTTAAATCACGGTTTTCCCTCCTCAGAAAGACCACATGTCCAGGGGACGTCCCCTCCTCACTAAAACGTGTTGAGCTGGGTTCACACCAGCCGGGCCCATGTGAAAACGTCTTATCTCTCTCCAGTTCTATAAGTGGCCTATAAGAAGTGCCTGTACTTTTTCTTTTTGCCCAGGGAAATGTTCTTATCATTAAATGCAAATGCACTTCTTTTTCCATGAAGGAGTTTTATTTACAACTGTCAACAGATAACTTTATAGAAAATAATATTGTATACATGTGTTTGGATATGCTTGAGCTTGAAAGACCTAGTAAAAGAAATACAAAACGCAAAATGGTATTGAAAAAACGCGGCTTTCCCTCGTAAAACTTTTGAATAATGTAGTCTCTGCTCTCTGTGAAGTAGGAGTGTGCATTCTCGTTCTGAAAAGCAGCTAAAGAATGAAAACAGACGTGCAAATGAGTATACGCCAAAAGCACTGTCATGGTGCACAGAGAGGTGGCAGTGCACTTGTACCGACCCACCACTGTCTCTCACCACTTCAAGGGGCTACATGAATGAGTGTGCTGCATTTGAGTTTCTGAGCATGTTGAGCTTGAATATCAAAGCCACACTGCATTAAATCACCAATAATCAGATCAGTATAACCATTTTGGTGTGCCACAAGGTTCTGTACTCTCGGTATTCTCTTCACACTTTATATGCGGTGACATATTTAGAAAGCAGGTGATATCATTAGAAAACCTTACATTAACTTGCATTGCTACACAGATGACACAAAGCTTCACCTGTCTATGAAACCAAGTCAGACAGATACATAAGAAAGGCTTAAGCCTGGTTCACACGGCAGGATAATTAGGCCGATTTTGGACCTGATCTACCCCCACGACAATCTTAAGATCGCTCCGAATATCGTAATAAAAAATGTGATGCATTTTCCTGCCGTGTGTTGTGTGTTAAGACTGTGCTCGTCGCTCGGAAGGACTTTGGGACTGCTCCGATCTCAATATCGGGGATATCCAACATGTTGGATTGTTTTGGCCCGATTTCTCTTCATGTGTGGTGTCACCCGAGGACAGATGAGCGTGTTGCCATGACAACGGCGTGTAGCCAATCAGAAGACGAGACGAGGCGGCGAGAAAACGCCGTAAAAAACAACTCACCTCCAGATCACGATGAAGCAAGTATAGTCCGAGCTCGTGTTGTCTGCACTTCTTTGACCATCGCCTTTTCTTTCGATTACGTCTTTTCTCAGATAAAAACAAACTATCGCCACTGCGTCCTCTTTGTCCGCCGTGATTGTTTACTCTGAAGTCACGCTTGATCTCGTGAGATCTTGTGAGATTTCCGTCTGATCTGGGAATGCTCGGGGGAGAAATCGGTTCGGTTGATTTTGCCGTGTGGCTGCGCGCCACACACTGTACGACCAAGGTGGGTAGACCCATGTTTTTTTATCTCTGTGTGTGAGGTCTCACACTTTGCTTTAATCTGCATGTAATACTGCGTCTGTTGCATTCACGTAGCACTGCGTCTGTTGCATACACGTAGTACTGTTTCACTAACAAACCACCAGTGGACTCTGTAACTGTTCGAAGAAGACACATAAATGAAAATACGAGTGATCTATTTATGGGAATGATAAACTTTGAGAATGCATCGTATTCTACTGTAGATGAACTGTTTAACTCTGTCACCTCTAGTGTTTTGAATGTTCTGGATACCGTTGCCCCTGTGAAGGTTAAAATAGTGAAAAATAAGCAGAAGGCGCCGTGGGCTAAAGCAGACTCGGTCAGGGCACAAAAGAGAAAGTGCCGGAGGGCCGAGCGGAAGTGGCGCAAGTCCAACCTCCAGGTTGATTACAAGATCTTCAAAGATAAGTTGTGCGAGTTTAACCAGGTGCTACGTAGTACGAGAGAAAAGTATTTTTCTGAAATGATTAGTAGTAGTAGTAGTAGTAAGCTTTATTTATATACCGCCTTTCACAGACCAGAGTCACAAAGCGGTTTACAATTGTTATTTTTTGGGCATTTGTCTCTCACTCCACACAGAGATGGGAGCGGGGTCGCCGAACAGGAGGCGCATGCCAGAACTATTGTACATATTTTTAGTACATTTAGTACATTGTACATATTTGATTGAAGGCTGCAGCAACAATCTGCGTGTTCTGTTCTCAACAGTTAATAGATTAACAAACCCCCCTGTTCAAATGCCATTAGAGCTAACTTCCAAACGTAAATGCAATGAGTTTGCACACTTTTTCAATGACAAGGTTCAAGGCATCAAAAACTCCATTGTCTCCAATCCACAGATAACGATCCAACAGCCTAAAAGGCTCTTTGAGCTAACTCACTTTGCACCTGTAAATGATCAAACTGTCCAAGAGATAATCTCCAGTCTGAGCTCCTCCACATGCAGCCTGGATGTACTACCCTGCACACTAACTTCTCTCCGGAGACTTCTCTCTCGCTCATTTCCGTCAATAGAAGCAGCGTGACTTGTAGTACACACAGTAGCAGCGAGAGAGATGTCTCCGGAGAGAAGTTAGTGCGCGGACGTAGCGCACCTCAGATTACTACGCCTCACAATATAGTACCCGTTTTATCCGCTGAGAAAATCGACTGTTACATTTCTGTGTTACTATACTTTGCAGTGTAACACGTCACGTAACTATATACATTTAATAGGGAACACTTGGAAGAGTTTGGTAGCTTCTAGCGGGAGCTACCTTTTGGGTACTATACAGTGACCAGAGGAGGCTGCATTTGCGCTCCCG